AAGCTATTGAATTATAGGGAGATATATGTGCCAATGATGTGATAAATGTTCTGAAAATGGGATAACTAGAGGGTCATATAGTTAACATTGATCGACAGGCAGCTTTTCATGGAATTATTCATGTCTATCTCATTTTCCTAAAATAGCTTTTTGGAATACTTAATTTGATTATATTGTATAAAGGCATTTATGGCAATGTTAGTGTAATGTTGTTGTTTTTTAACTCAATATTTTATCATTTTGAATTCAATAATGCAGGGGATGCCATATCTCCGCGAAGTAATTCTTTCAACAGTGGGACATTGCACAGACAATTGACCGAATATCTATAAAGCTCAACAGCCTCCCAAAATATGGTATAGTCACGCTAGATTTAATCCCCTAGATTGATACAAGAACTTTAGATGGTGTGTCATTGTATAATATTCTGTGATACCATACATGCTCTATACATGTTATAAAGAACTTTTTGATGATGTGTTATTCTATAATATTCTGTGATACCATACATGTGCTATACTTGTTATTAACACTAACTGACCTAGATTGATACAAGAACTTTAGATGATGTGTCATTGTATAATATTCTGTGATACCATACATGTGCTATACTTGTTATTAACACTAACTGACCTAGATTGATACAAGAACTTTTGATGATGTGTTATTCTATAATATTCTGTGATACCATACATGTGCTAAACTTGTTATTAACACTAATTGACCTAGATTGATACAAAAACTTTAGATGATGTGTCATTGTATAATATTTTGTGATACCATACATGCGTGTTACATGCATGTTATACACACTAACTGACCTAGATTGATACAAGAGCTTTTGATGATGTGTTATTTTATAATATTCTGTGATACCATACATGCGCTATACATGCATGTTATAAACACTAACTGAACTAGATTGATACAAGAACTTTTGATGATGTGTTATTTTACAACATTCTGTGATACCATACATGCGCTATTAATGTTATAAACACTAACTGACCAAGATTGATACAAGAGCTTTTGATGATGTGCCATTTTTATAATATTCTGTGATACCATACATGCGCTTTATCTGTTATAAACACTAAGTGACCTAGATTGATACAAGAGCTTTTGATGATGTGCCATTTTTATAATATTCTGTGATACCATACATGCGCTATACATGTTATAAACACTAATTGACCTAGATTGATACAAGAACTTTTTGATGATGTGTTATTCTATAACATTCTGTGATACCATACATGCGCTATACATGTTATAAACACTAATTGACCTAGATTGATACAAGAACTTTTTGATGATGTGTCATTTTTTAACATTCTGTGATACCATGCATGCGCTATACATGTTATAAACACTAACTGGAAAGTGATACAGCGTTTATAGCACGTACCAACATTAAATAGCACAAAGGGGACCTTTGTAAGGCTTAATCATCAATTACGGTCACAATGGTACCAGTAAAACTAGTTACTCAGACATTTCACTATGATCCTTTATGTATCCTCATAGCCACACTTATTAAGCTCTGCATGACTTAGGTATATTGATGTAAATTAGATAATATGTCTGTCATTTTGTAGCATTCAGTTTGAACGCAAAAGAGATTGACATGTTATAAGTTGGGTGAACTATTTTTATGAAGACATGTGAATTAATTTCTCTTTATTGACAAAGTTATAACTTATGTACAAGTTCCTTTTATTCAAATAACATCTGAATTCCGTATTTTAATAGGGTTTTGTTTTAATACGACTTATCAGGGAGTTTGGATTTAGGCTGACAATAGCGTCTTTTAGGGGGCTTGTTGAACCCTAGAAACAATCACATAAGGAAGCGGGGTAATTTAGTACGCTGTTGATACAACTTTATTTCATAAAGGCCATAACAGTAGTATTAACTGTCAGAAACCTAGGCCAATAGTGTAAAAAGCTGCGGTAATGTAAAATGATACACGTATACTGACAGGACTCGTAAATATCAAACTGAAAATTAAGGAAACAATACTCGTATTTGGTGTGTATTTTGGGTTGAAAAATAAGATGTGTGAATCTCTCAATCGTGCTGCTGTTTATGTTAGGACTGGTTTTACCTCATATTGTGATGCGTTTCATATGTAATAATGCAATTATTGTAAGGACCTATTAGAGTACTAAATCTGATGAACTTATGTACTAAAACAATATAGTAATTTTAATTTAAGACAAAAAAAAACAAGTTTTACAGGTAATGTAAACATCCATTGTTATCCAGTCCTTCTCTTATTAGCCCCCTACCGGTGAAACCGGGGGGACTATAGTTTTCCCCTCCGTCCGTCTGTGTACGTACGTATGTACGTACGTAACACCAATGTTTGTCAGCGATCTAGTGGCTTCATTCCTTGAGGGATTTGGATTAAACTTCATACAATTAGAAAGGACCGTAATATCTCGGACAAGTTCGAGTTTTAGGGTTGTCGGGTCAATGTCAAGGTCACTGTTACTATTTTTAGAAAATCATTCTCAGTGCTCTAGCGACCTTATTCCTTGAGGGATTTTATTTATCAAACTTCACACAATTACAAAGGACCCTAATATTTCGGACACGTTCGAGTTTCAGGGTTGTCGGGTCAAGGTAAATGTCACCGTTTTTTTTTTTTTAGAAAATGCTTGTCAGCGCTGTTGCGGCTTCATTCCTTGAGGGATTTTCATCAAACTTCATACAATTAGAAAGGACTATAATATCTCGGACAATTTCGAGATTCAGAGTTGTTGAGTTAAGGTCAAGGTCACCGTTACTATTTTTAGAAAATCCTGTCAGCGCTCTAGCGGCTTCATTCCTTGAGGGATTTTGATCAAACTTAACACAGTTATAAAGGACAATAATATCTCGGACAAGTTCGAGTTTCAGGGTTGTCGGCTCAAGGTCAAGGTCACCGTTACTTTTTTTTTTTTTTAGAAAATCCATTGTCAGCGCTCTAGTCTCTTCATTCCTTAAGGGATTTTGATCGAACTTCACTCAATTACAAAGGACCATAATATCTCGAACAAGTTTGAGTTTCAGGGTTGTAGAGTTGAGGTGAAGGCCACCGTTACTATTAATACAAAATCTCGGACAAGTTGAAGCCAGTGATGGACTGATGATCGATATATAATAATGATTTGTCCTTTTCGATTCCGATTATCGATAACAAATTCCATAATCGATATAATTGGTTCATTACTGAACTTAAAGTGTCAAATGTGTATTTAATATACAGTTTGAATGGAAATTCATTTATTCTGATTTTTTTACCAATATCATTGATGGTAATGTAGAATAGAAAAATTAAATTAATATCAGTTACAAGCTAATTGTATACTTTTCATTTCCCCAAATTAACACCAATGGGCACCATTTTTATAAATCATTACTGTGTAATAGCTAGCGGGGGCCGGTAAGGGACATGTATTGCTTTAGCAATACTCAGTATGCTTGTTTTTGAAACTAATATACTAGTAGTTAGGGAGATTTACGCTCCTCCACTTCTGTTTCTACAGTAATTGATTTTCAACATTTTGGACCCCATCATCACCAACCAGAGAGTCCTAGACGGATAACACAGCTGTATTATGCAATGTAATTCATTTTTTGCATACTGTGTACATTACCAAATTTTACAATAACAATCACATGTAGGAGGCACGGTAGTCTAGTGGTAGGACGACGGGCTCGTGACCGAAGGGTTGCGGGTTCGAGCCACGGCACGGCACTGTGTTGTATCTTTGAGCAAGATACTTTACTTCGCTTGTTCCAGTCTACTCAGCTGTACATTAGTACGTGGTTGGGTAGTGCTAGAATTGTTGAATGCCAGCTGTGAGCGCCGAAATGGCAGCTCCGGCTGTATGCTCTCCAGGGAGTTGAGAAAGATATTGGCTGGTTGCAATGGCCCTTTAACCACGGATAATACTTTGGGAACCGTTTTGAGACGACCTACGAACTAGGTTGGGATAAAGCGGTATATAAGAACCTCGAATCATTTATAATTATTTATCATGACGTATGTTACATTAATTATCCACATGCCATGTAAATGATGAACATGTACGATACACTGAAAAGTCCCGCCTTATTTCTCCGGTTCTAGGATCTTATTACTGTCCCTGTCATGTAAACGACTATTTCTCAAGCGTTCAACTTTTTTAGTCGAACACATGGTAACTTTAAATGCCAAAACATTCAATATCATTTAATGCTATTTGTTTTCTTCTTGTTCAGGATAAAATTTTATTTAGTGTATGGTACATTTACAGATTTTCTGTAATTGTAGCATACGGACCTTTTTAAATCTATCTGATGCTGACCTGATCTATCAGATGAGGACCACATTCGGCGCGTATGAAGTTTACAAATCACACCTGTCCGGAGAATGTTCTAAAAAGATTTTTCCAGAAGATTTGACAGTCATCAACATGATTTGTATGATTTCAATGTCCAAAATGTTTAAAGACTTGCATCGTTTATATGTTGTCATGGAGATATATGGCGGTGCAGGAAACGCCTATTTGTCAGAGGCATCCGGTTTCGCCTTAACGTTGTTAGTTTTATATTGGGGAGGCGTCATTGTCCGAGTCCGTCTTGTTTTGTGAGTCAGTTTTCTTGCTGATTTATTTATAGCTTTTGAGTCATGTTTTCAGATTATGTGAGCTATTGTTTAAATTGACTTCTATCTTATTTGTAAATTCCTTTCCAAATTTAATCTTTTTTGATTTGTTAGTTCTGTCATGGTTTGTGAGTCATTGTCCAAACTGTTCACGTTTACTCCTCTATAGTTTTTGAGTCACTGTAAAATCTGTTCACGTTTACTCCTCTATAGTTTGTGAGTCACTGTAAAATCTGTTCACGTTAACTCCTCTATAGTTTTTGATTCACTGTAAAATCTGTTCACGTTTCCTCCTCTATAGTTTTTGAGTCACCGTAATATCTGTTCCCGTTTACCCCTCTATAGTTTTTGGGTCACTGTAAAATCTGTTCACGTTATCTCCTCTATAGTTTTTGAGTCACGGTAAAATCTGTTCACGTTTACTCCTCTATAGTTTTTGAGTCACCGTAATATCTGTTCACGTTTACCCCTCTATAGTTTTTGAGTCACTGTAAAATCTGTTCACGTTAACTCCTCTATAGTTTTTGAGTCACTGTAAAATCTGTTCACGTTTACTCCTCTATAGTTTTTGAGTCGTTGTCAAACCTGTTCGAGTTTACTCCTCTATAGTTTGTGAGTCTTACTCTTTGAGTTGACTCATTTATAGTTTTTGAGTAATTATTCAAACTGTTTGAGTGGATTCATGTATGACTTGTGAGGCATTGTTGAACTGACAGCTTCATGGCTCTATCATAATTTATCCATTTATACTTGTTGATGTCTTCATATCTGGTCGTGCCATTATCGTATCTTGTGATATTTCCGAAGACCCTCGTCTTGTTCGGAATAATTCACTGGCCATTGCAAACAATGCTCCAACCAACATGATGAAACCTACGACAACAAAAATATATTTATAAATGAAACTCTAACTGAACACGCTAGGTTAAACTTACTGGAATACGCTTGTTTAAACTAACTGGTACACACTTGGTTAAACTTACTGGTACACACTTGGTTAAAACTTACTGGTACACACGTGGTTAAACTTACTGGTACACACTTGGTTAAACTTACTGGTGCACACTTGTTTAAACCTACTGGTACACACTTGGTTAAACTTATTAGTACACACTTGGTTCCACTTACTGGTACACACTTGGTTACACTTACTGGTACACACTTGGTTACACTTACTGGTACACACTTGGTTACACTTACTGGTATACACTTGGTTACACTTACTAGTACACACTTAGTTACACTTACTGGTACACACTGGGTTACACTTACTGGTACACACTTGGTTACACTTACTGGTATACACTTGGTTACACTTACTGGTACACACTTGGTTAAACTTACTGGTGCACACTTGTTTAAACCTACTGGTACACACTTGGTTACACTTACAGGTATACACTTGGTTAAACTTACTAGTATACACTTGCTTAAACTTACTGGTATACACTTGCTTAAACTTAATGGTATGCACTTGGTTACACTTACTGGTATACGCTTGGTTACACTTACTGGTACACACTTGGTTAAACTTACTGGTACACGCTTGGTAAAACTTACTGGTACACGCTTGGTAATACTTACTGATACACGCTTGGTTACACTTACTGGTATACACTTGGTTAAACTTACTAGTATACACTTGCTTAAACTTACTGGTACACACTTGGTTACACTTACTGGTACACACTTGGTTAAACTTACTGGTATACACTTGCTTAAACTTACTGGTACACACTTGGTTAAACTTACTGGTACACACTTGGTTACACTTACTGGTATACACTTGGTAATACTTACTGATACACGCTTGGTTACACTTACTGGTATACACTTGGTTAAACTTACTAGTATACACTTGCTTAAACTTACTGGTATACACTTGGTTACACTTACTGGTACACACTTGGTTACACTTACTGGTATACACTTGGTTAAACTTACTGGAACACACTTGGTTACATTTACTGGTACACACTTGGTTAAACTTACTGGTACACACTTGGTTACACTTGGTTACACTTACTGGTATACACTTGGTTAAACTTACTGGTACACACTTGGTTAAACTTACTGGTACACGTTTGGTAATACTTACTGATACACGCTTGGTCAAACTTACTGGTATCGTGACTAAGTATCTACGACAATGCGTCCTGTACATTGTAATACACGTAGGCGAACTTCCTCTCTTTTAAATAGCAGATTTGATTCCTTTAATCATAGAACGCAATGTTTGTACACGCGGCATTTGCTGATCGACTTTCCCTTTACATAATCAGGTTATTTTTATGCATAACTCGCTAAGAAACATTCAAACACGGTAAGGATTTCATTAAAAACTATATCTTTTCGATATACACAAATCGTTAAGGTTAAATAAGGTAATTGTTGACACAACTTCTACTTAAAGCATTTTGGTACATATACACACATACGAGTATTTTGTTCACTATATATTTTTTACAGTAAAGTACAATACCTGTGATAACGAAACATTGGTCATACGTCCCACCACTGTCGATAAGCAGTCCTATCATATAGAAAACAATGAAAACATAAATTATTGAAGACATAAAAGATTATTCTTACGTTGCTAAAAATGAATTCCTCTGTTCTGGGTGAGAAAAACAATTAATTGTTCTCTCCTGCGTTTACAAATTTTCTTTTTACACTATCTGCATAATTAGCCGATTGCGAAATTTAATGAAAAATACTTTCTGGAATATCAGAAGACATGGCGAAGATTAAATGTTTAGAAAAAGGCTAATAATGCAATCCAAAATCGCGCAAAACTCCTTTACATATAGCTTCGTTCTAAGTTTTAAATAACATTAATATAGGTGGAGATAGAGACGAAAATCATTGCTGCTATAATAGTTTCAAAACGAGAACATTGATTTGGTGCGTACTTATGCTCTTTTAGACAAAGTTTATGGATTTTGATTAAAACTATATCTTGATCTACACTCCGTTTCGTAAACTTTAAAGTTTAACGAACGGAGCGTAAATGAAGATATGGTTTTAATCAGATTGGGAATTTGTTTATCTGCATAAATGGTCAACGTTTTATGTTAGAGATCAGCCTAACACTGCAAAGTATGCATGAGAGGGGCAGATCGTGGCCAAGTTTCGATACTCGTGGGGTTACGCTCACTTTCGCTCTCTGTACCCCTGATATAGTTGAGACACGAGATTAGCTATTTAATTGGTTTCAGGTAAAACAACAGACTGGTCAATCGCTGGGCTGAGCCCTGTCCGTTGAAGAAAAAGGCAATACCCGTATTTAAAGCCAGTCAATTTTACCATTACGCGACCTACAGATTCTTTAGATGTTCATCCAAGGGACAATTAAGTCTTTTCGTCTCATCCACTAGGTGATGCACACTGAGCCTTCGAATTTGCTATGACATAGTCCAAGGGAGCAAAGCAAAGACAAGCGTAACCCCTGGAGTATCGAGGATGATCGTGGTCAGGACGGATAGACATAATTGTATTGTACATTCTTTTTCATTATCTTCTTAAAGTGTAGGACCAGAACCAATTCTTATCAACATGTTTTCTGCCATTTGTGACCAATTGAACAAAAACTTATTTATAACAACACCGTGAACAAATTTGATTATGAAATTAAACATTTTAAAATGGTTGATCGCAGCTATAAACACACTGACCTGCACATGGAGGGCCAGATAATATACCAAGACCTACGGAGAACATCTCGATGCTCACCGCCGTAGCCAGATGTCGCAGCCCAACCAGTCGTAAACTCAGTCCATTCAACAACGGGAAGCAACTCCCACTGTATAAACCCAAAAATAATGCATACAGGACTTGTCCCTCGTAACAGTGTCCGTAGAGGGGGAAACACATAGTTGATATACCCATCACTGAGACTGTTCCGAACAGCATCAGTGCGACGTCCACCTCGTTCCCACTTGTTGCCAGACCTGTGAGAATTCTCGCCGCCATTGAACATATACCAGAAATAGAGATAAGGAACGCGCCTTGGAGGGGCGCAGCACCTGTCAGGACTGCATAGTTCGGCAAATTCAAAAACATTATATATATTCCAAACTGAGCAAAGAAAAGACTAAAGCATAACATGACCAATGGAGTATTTCTGAAGATATTGGTTATTGGAGTTACGGATGATTTTGATTTGCATATGCTATTTCTTGATTGATGTCCTTTATTAAAACAAGCTGGTATGTTACTTGCACTTTGTGGTGATTCTTTCGTCATAGTCCAATCAGAACAGATTGCCACGTCTTCATCGTCTACAATTGTTGTCCTTATAAGATCAGAATGTATGTCGTCATCCGTATCCAGAATTTCAGTAGCTGTTTTCATCTTCTCTATTTGTGATGGGAAGTATAATGTTCCAAATATGCAAAGGTGTGCAGAAATTCCAGCCATGATGAAGAAGAAACCCTTGTTTCCGAATATTTCCCTCATTTCCTGAATGACCGGCGAGAGTCCAAGCACTCCCATGCCTATTCCAGACAGGGCTACTCCACTCGCCAGGTTGAGCTTCTCCTCAAAGTTGAACCCAATCACGATAATGGACGTTGTGTACGTCAAACCTGCTCCAATTCCTGCAAAGTAAACAGATATATGATTAACGTTTCTGTTTTGTATGATGATCGACATAGTTTTGTATTACCGTATGCTGTGCAACACTTCGGTCTTATATTTATTGTTATGTGGACAAGTTTTCATACATCATTATTACATTAAATGGATCGAAGTATTACTGTGTCTTCCAGGTTAAATAATGAATAATCATAAGGTTTTTTCATGTACCCTTTTCTTGTTTTATGAAATTCAACAAGTCGTTACATGATTCCGATAAGATGCGGCCAAATCTTTAAGAACACACTCTGTTTCCAATGAAAAATAAATCAAAAGCATCAAAACCGGATGTTCTATAGGGCCTTGTTCATATGATATTTCACTTTGACCTGGATGTTTTATTGTGATGTTATGTAATCATAGGATACCAGTCATACCCACTATTCCTCCGTAAACCAGTATCACTAAGTCTAGAGAGTCCAGAAAGGCACAGCAAACGAACCCCGCGGTCATTACCAATGAGCCTGCTATGGTTGCTACTCGGCAACTGTACTTCTTGAGGACAAGGCCAGCAAACACACCTGTAAACAGTCGACAAAGTCAATCAGCTGGAACCGTGTGTATTACAGTCAGGAGATGCTGATTAAATTATGCGATGTTAGCGTCATCAGTTAAGATGTCTTACATGGTACAACAAACACGCTGGTATCCCTGGTGGTCCCTACCGGTCCGTTGTTTACATAATGTCTTTCCAATTACTTTTGTGTTTCCTCAGTTCTTTTCGTATTGACTATGATTTTTATTTGTCTTTTTATTTGTGTGTTTCTCTGGTATATTTTGTTATTGTGTATTGACGCTGTGGTATGTTATGTCTTGGTTTAATGAAGCTGTGGTATATCTTTGTTCTCGTGTATTGGCATTGTGGTATTTTTTTGTCCATGAATGTTGGCATTGTGATATTTTTTAATCTGATTTGTTGGCACGGTCGAATATTTCATCTTGGCGTGTTGCCGCTGTGGTATATTTTGCTCTGTGTTTTGATGCTGAGGTCAAATTTGTCGATGGTGTGATTTATTTTGTTCTGTGTGTTCATCCTACGCTATGTTTTATAGTTGTGTGTTGACTGTGTTGTTTGTTTGTTTCATTTAGTTGACTTATACAGGAAATTTAAATACAAAAATATGTGCAAATATTACTGTGTTGTTTTCTTGTTTATATGATAATGCTGTACCTGGTATATTGCAGCTTTTATATCATAGTGCATACTACTTTACATTTACATATACTAGTAAACTCTCACTGACCTCCACATGACTGTGTCGCCGCAAACAAAGAGCCAGCCAGTGACGTGCGCATGTTGTCCTCATTGAAGTTCTCAAGGAGGGCGAGGTGAACGACCCCAATTCCCTGTCCTAGACAACCATTAACAACCATAGCTCCAAACGAGGCTCCCAGCACCGCCCAAGCCCAGCCTCGATCTGGTTTCGTTAACTTCATCCTACAATGTCTTCAATGTAAACAATACATTTGATACTAATAAATCACTCAGCTTCCTATACACGCTCTCATGTTACGATTATAGCATAAATTAGTATCGTTAAAATGTTCTCTTTATATGTAAACATAAAAAGCTCAGTAATTTATCTACTACTGTCAAAGCCTGGAATTGCTTTCTGTTATGCGAACCTCAGAGAGATTTCCACGAATTTATATTTTTCACAAAGGTCAAGTTTAGTGCAAAAACAGTCTAAAGTAAATTTGAAAGTTCAACAGGCTTCCTAAAAGATGGTTGAATTACCAAAATCACAATATACTAATAAGTTACTTATATGGATCATTTGAAATCAGATATGCATTATGTAATTTGGATATTTAATATTTCCAATGGTACATAGCGACGTAACGTATTCTGTATTTAGGTATTCAGGCCGATTTATGCATAAAGGTAGTTTACCAGTAATATATGTTACCTGGGTATTTGGCTGTGATTTCTGTGGTTTCACATAGTCACGGCCTTATTGGTCTGAAAGTGATATCCCTCTCCACAGATAGTAACGGAAATTAAACCCATGCATAACTTAAGTATAAATATGCACATAAGGTAACACGTCAGTTCACAGCATTCATTTTGATATGATCTGATGTAATTTGAGTATAAACATGTAAAACCAAGTGTCTTTTGACGAGGATGATGAATAAATTAGCATTACTGAAACGAATATGAAACGCAAGTTCTAAAATTGCTATGTATTTTTGTATCAAATTATACATAGCTGTATAACAATCGGGGTAATACAGTGCACTCTGAGCCAATAAGGAAAGTCACCGTGTTCTGATAGTAAAGACTTTATGTAACACAACGCAAAATATACACATGGCACAACAAAATATGGCGTCAGGCCGGAAGAGAGAGTGCTCAGCATGGGACCGCTTATCAGTCAGTGACAAGGCCGCTTAATATAAGAGAAAGAAAATAAAGTACATGCGCTGCCTATAACCCAAACCAATGTTCAGAATCAGCCAGATATGACGTGAAACCTATGTAAACCAGTATCAATTGATCACTAGCACGAGACACTATCAGTTAATAGAGGACGTGCTATAGCGATGCTTACGTAAATACAGATTGCTCGGCACTTCAGAGTTCATAAATCGACTGTAAGTCAATGACTTTTACGTCTGAGCGCACAGAAAGGGTCAATGACGGGCCGTAATCAGGACGTCAACGCGTAACGTCGCGACATCAAGACCGAATTTAATAAGGTTGGTACACCTGCGTAACAGGAGATTAAAAACTGCTGAAACGGCAGAAAATACGATCAGTAATAGTAACTATCAGATTAATCCCCAAACAGTTATACACAGAATTCGTGAGACTAGTTTGCTTGCACGGCGAGGGTAACTAATACTGTAACGTCGAGCATGTCGTATGCAATGGTTACCGGCACATATACCCATACGTTCTCCTATGAAACTTTGGAGGTCGATGCTCTTTACAAATGAATCTCAATACGCTTTATTTTCAGCAGATGGCCATCAACGTGTGTACCGGCGTAGAGGAGAATGTTTTGCTGACGCATGGTTTTTTATTTTGGGTGGGGGTTGGGCTTTTGTTAGGCAGCATAATCTAACCTTGCAGCAAGATAACGCCAAATCACACGTTGCAAGAGTCTGTAGGGACTTTCTTGCGACACAGAACTTCGTTCCTATAGATAGGCCTACATACTGACAGAATAGTCTCCAATCGAGCATTTGTAGGATGAAGTAGACAGAAGAGTTTGGAATCGCCGTAAGCCCCAAATACCCCAGTTAGGCAACGCACTCGTCCAAATATAGAATGATATTCCAATACGGAAAGTGAATGTCTTCCTGAAGTCGATGTAACCAAGAATTAGAGGTGCTATACCTGTTCGAGGAGGACACACAGGTTTCAAAACTGCTGCCATTTTAACATTTCACTTGGGGTACTACCAATCATGACCTTTTTTGTTAAAAATCACCAAAAATGTATAGTAGGTTACATCAGTATTCTGTGTTGTTTTATGTATGCATAAACATTTGTATGTATATTGACGTATGTAAGTATAGAAGACCTACAGTATACCTTACATGTAACATGCCCTGAGGCAGGACCCAGACCAGGTGAGTATAAGCTCATGTAAATGTGAATGTATTGTAATGTGCTGTGCCGGTTCTGTCCAGTTTTTGGTCATGTGCATGTGTTTAAAACCCGTTTGTCTATTTATATAGATACTTCTTTTGGTCAGTTTGTAGGTGTGTCTATATTATATAATTGCATTGGTCCTGGGGGCGGGGTGTCACAGCTAGAAATATAGCCAGGGTATTTGCCGCCCAAAGTCAGTAAAAAGAAAGATTTTGAGGAGAGTTGATACTATAGAAGTCACAATACGGAACAAAGAATTGATCAGCTTTAGTGCTGGAGGGAAACCGTTCAAATTATAAGTCCTAAACTCAAGTTGATAATACCTCCATTACAAAAATGGGGATATCAATGGCAGCCTGACTATCCTTTATGTTTGGTCAGTCTCTGTCAATTGGATCGGTAATAAAAAAAGAAAGAACCCTAAGACACGTTTTTGTTTTACATGAAAATTAGTCTGCTACATATAACTACCAGGTTTCAGACAAAAACGTTTCTGTTTGATCCCTGGTCGTATATCTCCACAGTTCCTGGTATGGACTTGATCCGTGGTCGTATATCTCCACAGTTTCTGGTATGGACTCGATCCCTGGTCGTATATCTCCACAGTTCGTTCCTGGTATGGACTTGATCCCTGGTCGTATATCTCCACAGTTCCTGGGATTGACTTGATCCCTGATCGTATATCTCCACAGTTCCTGGTATGGACTTGATCCCTGGTCGTATATCTCCACAGTTCCTGGTATGGACTTGATCCCTGGGCGTATATCTCCACAGTTCCTGGTATGGACTTGATCCGTGGTCGTATATCTCCACAGTTTCTGGTATGGACTCGATCCCTGGTCGTATATCTCCACAGTTCGTTCCTGGTATGGACTTGATCCCTGGTCGTATATCTCCACAGTTCCTGGTAGGGACTTGATCCCTGGTCGTATATCTCCACAGTTCCTGGTATGGACTTGAACGCTACAACCTATCCTTTTCCTTATACTTTTGAATATTATCTTCGTTCACACAATTAAAGATCTATTTGTAATAATGACTTGGTTATTTATTATCCTTGACACGAAACGTGTGAACGTTTGATCACGGCTCGGTCACACGTTGTTGTTGGCAATGCCTAAATACGTAATGAACAATTCAGTCGGATCCAAGGGTGTGTCACCAGCGCACGTGGCACCTTCTCTCCTTGACTTAAAAAAGATAATAGTATATACATGAATATAAGTATCTGCATCTATCGTGTGACTCCCCTCAAGCTCCGTTTGTCGTGTGTACTGTAACCTTTTATGTGCCCATCAATATTCCATGTTTTAAGTTATTCCTATCGTAAAAAACTTATCTGAATTAAATACATTTTAATTTATTGACTGGTTAATTGATAATTACACTGCCCAAGACCCCACCTCCGACAGTTTTCAACTCGATGTTCAATAGTTGACACTAATTAAAATCACACCCAGCATGAATTAAATGGGTCAGCGATCCATGATAGAGACGTTTGTATTATGTTTAAGTGGTATGTCATTACAATGACGGAAGCAGTCTATCTTACTAGTCAAACACTCAGCTTTATTCAAACGAAAAGGATTGTTGCAACAATACAAGAAAAATATTCAGTGTAACTATGTTGTACATACTGTGTTCACGGCCATTATATTGTTGAACTTTGTGTAAAATGCGGTTACATTACCTGAGCAACTTAGAATTAAGTTATCGTATTTTCTAGTGCGTATAGTTAAAATAAGAGCATAAAATAGAATTACTGGTGCATGTATATGTGCTTGTAAATACACATTTAAACGTGTTTCTTTGAGGGATAGGTACATATAAAATATTCCAATAACATAAACATGTTCGATGAGAACAAGGTGATACAGCTTCACTAGCTGTATAACGTGTATGAATTGGACAAGTTTACCTACCCTATCACGATCCGCTCTTTTTCTGTGAAGCATACATATGTTCCTTTCAGCACCCAACGTTCAAAGGACACAGACAACGACCCTTGACCTCAAATTCATGGATATATTGCTTTCGACTTTTCTCTACCCGCTGCATGTATCCAACACTGAGGTTTGTTTGAGATCGCTGCAACACAGATGTCACAAATAATAAATATCGACTGAAGCGGATAGAATAACCTTGGCCTGTACACATTAATTTGTATACGAAACTGCGTAGATGGACGGTATTCATGCGATAAATGGGCTCGTCACGGCTGGGTAGTTATGATAAACACGTTAATATAGCGAAACATACCGATTCACAAGTACGATATCTGACTTATCACATGGTCTAATTCACAATGGCGAAAAAAAAGAGGCGGTGTAACGGTAAAAATATACTCCTGAGTAAAATAGACATGGAGTCAGTTTTTTTAAGCTTTGAAATGAAACCGACGAGCTGAAATCTTCCGATACTCCAGAGGTTACACTCATTCACGCCCTCTACACCCCTGGAATATGTCATGACACGTGGCTAGCTATTTGTTAGGTTTAAGGTAAAACAAACTGCCAAGTCACTAGGCTGAACACGTTACGTTGCAGCATGTTTTGTTTATGTTTATGTACATCAAAAGATCAAACTTGTCTTACTGTATCATCCACAAGAGGGCGCACGCTGAGCCTTCGATTTTGTAATGACATATAGACCTGATCGAGGTGCAACGAGCGTAATTGAGCGTATTCCCTGGAGTAATGAAGATAGGGAGCAGTGAAAAATTATCTCGTTCAAAAATTGGTCCCCGTAAGAGATTACTTTTGCACGTGTAACCTGTCGAAATGTTTTATATGAAAACTGACCCCTACCAAAGTCTTCGTAATATTAGCTCGCCAGTTAGAAAACTTTTAGACATTCGGGTTAACACAGCCCTAAAAACAACAGAAATTACATCTATTGATGGACAAATATTAACAATAAACATATATACTTTACATAATTTTTTAATAAATGATATGACAAGCAGGAACAAAAATCAAAAGTGAAAATGTGAGTAAATAACCGCTCAAATTAAAGAGTTATCTGTAAGCCTTAGATAACAAATACAGCCACGATGATTTATTTCAAAGAGGTTCATACTTAAAAAGTACTTGCAGAAGTATTTCAAATCATATTATGCATCTTCCAAATTTGTTTTGGCAGAGCTGTTATGTAAGAGCTGTTTTAAGATCCTTTCTGTATTCCTCTCTCTTCCTCGTCATTTGCATCATATCATGTAGACTGAAATCTAGTTTTGTTTTCGTTCCGTTGATAAAACAGTTTACAGATAATAACAATTCATTCATATACTAGCATTCAACGTATCAACCATAAATAAATTATCATACCTGATTGGCTCTTCAGTTTTTGTATCTTTCTTGGATCAAATCAAAGTAAAACCTTTAAGTGATAAAGATAAGAAATAAATCTTACACTTTAAATTCCTCCAGTATATCTCGATATCATCAAGAACCTGAATAATTCAAATGTTGTGATTTCTTGGTTTTCTTGTACATTTCTTCAATATTAAGACTCAGATTATCAACATACAGGTCTATTTATCTAGTCAAGTAAATCTACAAACTGAACTACGATGTCGCATCAAATATATTCTATGAACAATTCTCTAACTACATCTCTCGAAACAAAACAAAACAAACAAAAATCTACGAACATTTTTGGTCTTATAGCTTGACAATAATATTCTACACAATATGAATGGGAATGCATAAAAAATCATTTTTAATCAAATATCAGTTGGTCACGACTACTACTTTTGGCGCAAAATTAGCTAAACGCATACCTCGACTGTCCCGAGCTCAGCTTTTATATATCTGTCCATCGGNCCCTTGCCCCCCTGCCCCTAACCCCCATTACCACCACCACCCACCAAGGTCATGCTTTAAATTTAGTATGTACATCCCCTCATCATAATAAGGCAATGGAGCGACACTTGGAGAATGGAACTCTAAATAACTGATAGCAAATCAGTATTAATTTTGAATGACAGCTTTTAATTATCAGGTTTTGCACAAGAAGATATTTCTGATTGATTCATGATCTTATGTAGAAGGGGAGAGTTTTGGGTACAATACAAAAAGATTAGACGTTAAAGGATGAGTGTCTATAAGGCCCTTTTTTGGGCTCCGGTATATTCGTATTTTTACCTCCTTATTTTGTTCAAAGAAACTAAGATAAAACTTCGACCGAAAGTGGGTTTCTGTGGGTACCAAAAGGGGTAGGGTAAATCATTCATATAGTTCGCTGTTTTCAAAATGAGCTTAAATACCAAAATAATACCATTTCTGATTTTGAAAACATGTATAAAGTAGACAAGCATATATATGTAACAAAACGAAAAATGACAGAATTGTATTCGTCACTTAAAGATTATTTATATAAAAAGAAGGATTAAGTCACGGGGGGATTTTTGGTCATTTTCAATTGAAAACTAATTTGTTTTCTCAATTATTTCCTTTCTAATTAATATTTTGACTTGAAATTTACAATTTCACTCATTTAGTCGACTTACATAAATTGCATATTGACAACATACTTTCCTTTTGTTTTATACTGAGTTATGGTGTCTGAACACATCTCAAACTACGTTATTTCAAATATCTTTCAATTTTAAGTGAATTAAAAGGTGCATGACACCCTTTATATGCTATAAGTATAAGATGTTTATAGTAAATATTGTATATTATATGTATCATAAGATATTTGCTCAGCACTTGTGGCTTGAGCGACTCCCAGGTCCTGTGATGTTTTTTTAATTAGCAAAGTTAACTTACATATAAAAAATGACATTTGTCACCATAATTACAGTAAAATTATTTGTTTAATATATGAAGTTTGATTTGCTGCTAATATTTAGTCTCCTTGCCTCAAGGAAAGTATCTGATTTAATCGTTAAAGTTAATCGATTTCATTGTTTTATCAAGTGTTCTGCTTATTTCCAATGTATATCCGCTGATTGTACATAAAAGGCATTTGGGGATAAGCATTTGCTTGGCATAGATATTAATTATATGATAATATTTAGTTTGTAAAAGTTTCATATTTATCCCACAATGCCTTTTTACTTAAAAACACCTTTTCCTTTGATTTGGAGTACAAGGAATAAAGTGTATCTCCTTGCCTAACACCAAATATTTCCTGACAATACTAGTCTATAGTCAAAAGTCAGATAGTTTATGCTTTGAAAACGCAAAGAGAGACTAAGTTGTTCCTTAAAGTTAATGCTTGCAATTAATAGTTAATTCTTTTGTTGATTTCATACGGTTTATTTGTTACATTCAATGCTAGCTGCTACCCATATTATTACTTTTCTTCTCTTTTGTTACATTATGTTATCCATGGCATCGGTGTATGCTGTAAAAAGAGATCACCCATCTGACCTTTGTAACAAGACGAGACTTGTTTGCCTCTTCTGTATTATGTTGCTTCTGCTTTTTGCTGAGACAGTAAGGCGTTTGTATATTTAGACCAACGTTTTCTAACATATCAGTAAAGTCACAAAAACCACGGTCAACAATCAATATAGCTTTGCCATGGAAATCGAAGAGTTAAGGATTGAACACGCAACAAGTCACAATGAGTGTAATTTACTTCAGTGGAAACGGTAACTTCGAGCTGGGATGTACATGACTCATAAAAGGGTTTTCTACATACATTGAACAAAAGGTTAATAGTTTTTATTTAGCTCATAGGACAATTTTTTCTTTCAGATAGGTCAAAAGTTGTTCATCATATATTTTTGGAATGTTGGCAATGTGCCTCGTTTTACAACATACACTGATCATGATGGCATGCTTAATGTAATGTAACAAAAAGGGAAGAAAAATAATTAAGACATAATATGAGTGGCAGCTAGCATTGAATGTAACAAATATGCCGTATGAAATCAACAAAAGGATTAACTGTTAATTGCAAGCATTAACTTTAAGGAACAACTTAGTCTCTCTTTGCGTTTCCAAAGCTTAAACCATCTGACTTTTGGTCAGTGTAGCATGTCAAACGCCCCTCTTACTACTATAATACTCTTCTGAGCCTGTTTAATCCACATACATTCATATAGACTAGTGTAAAAGGAACGGGTTTCCACTTTAAAACCAACACCCAGGTTCGGTGATCTTGGGTCCATTGGGGTCTTATAAATTGATGAACATGAAGTATGGCAAATGAACATAGACTCAAGGATATAAACTTCAATACCTTTTATTAAACACAACAAGTGTAAAGAAATATCAGTACAATACACGATAACATATCTCACACCCTTACTCACACTATACAACACCGTTCATTTATACAAGCGGCTACAAGGCCTACTCCTATCAGCATAGACGACGGACTCTACGTTGGAATTCTATATAGACATGTGTACAGACTACTTTCTAATTCTAACACTAAACATTATTGCTGTCCCTACATTATTACCTAACGAGTCCTAGAGAGAAGAAGCGAAAGAGTGAGTCAGGCAGTCTTACGAGGACTTTACTTCTGACTGACGAGCTATAGAAAACCACCGCTTTATATAGACAGACACACGGCACTTTGCACGTGCAATAGTCGCGCAAAAGCTACTCGGAACACTTCCGGTTACGTAACTAGGTTCCGAATGTGAAAATAACAAGATGGACGACGAAACGTGGTGAACTGTCAATCGTAAATATCGAATGTTAAGTATCCGAATTATCTCCACTTTTACACGAGTATTGTCAGGAAAATATTTCGTGTTAGGCAAGGAGATGCACTTTGGTCCTTGTACTCCAAATCAAAGGAAAAGGTGTTTTTAAGTAAAAAGGCATTGTGGGATAAGCATGAAACTTTCACAAACTAAATATCATCATATAACTAATATATATGCCAAGTTACATGCTTATCCCCAAATGCCTTTTATGTACAATCAGCGGATACACATTGGAAATAGGCAGAACATTTGATAAAACAATGAAATCGGTTAACTTTAACGATTAAAGCAGATACTTTCCTTGAGGCAAGGAGACTAAAAATTACCAGCAAATCAAACTTCATATATTAAATCAATCATTTTACAGAAGTTGTGGTGGCAAATGCCATTTTTGATTCGTAAGTTAACATTGATA